AATGAAAATGGTCCTTTTCTTCATTTACTACACCCCATTAGTTTTAAGGGGGAATAAGTTAAAATGATATGACCATTTTGAGAAATGGTCTAACCAATTTATTAAAGTGGTCTAGCCATTTTAATAAATGCCTAGGTGAAATGGCTAAACCATTTTTTATTATGGAAAAACGGTCATTTTCAGCTATAAACATTTCTTCTTTTATCTGTTAACCCCTTTCTTTTCTTTTTCTTATTTCATTTCATTACACTAGAATCTCTATTATGTTATAATTTTTAATTTATCTCGGGGTTTACATTCTTCCCTCCTAATAAATAAATTATTATCCTTGAAATTTAATTCATACATGTATTTAGCAATAACTTTAGATTCTTTTTTTTTTTTATCTCAAACTCTCATTCCTATGTTATCATTTTGATTTGGGAACTTTTTCAAAGTATATTTACCATGGAAATTATTTTATTTTAAAGTTCCTTCTCACTTCTATTTAATATCCAAATTGGATATACTTCTAACATCAAGTCCTCCTTTATTTCCAATGAAACTTATGAAAACACTCGAGTGTGATCTATTTTAGCCTTCTAAAGTAATGATACATGAAATACATCATGTATGTTTGAAAAATGTAGTGGTGTGTCTAATCTATATGTAACTAGGTTTATCCCTTAAACTATCTCAAAAGAACCAATACATCTCGAGATCTATTTTCCTTTCATCCCAAACCGTATATTATACTTCCACGATGCAACATTTAAGAATACTTGATCCCCCACCTTAAACTTAAAGGGTCTTCTTCTTTTATTTGCATAGCTTTTCAATCTATCCTAAATTATTTTCATTTTATCTTTTATGATCTTCACCTTCTTTGTGGTGATCGGTACCAAATCCAGGCTAATTAATTTCCTATCCCTACTTTTTCCCAATAGACTAGAGTTCAACTCTTTTCATATAAAGCTTTATATGAAGTCATTTCCATGATAGTTTAATAACTGTTATTATATGTGAACTCCACCAATGATAGGTGATCTTCTCAATTCCCTCTAAACTTCAATACACATAACATTAACAAATCTTCCAATGTCTGAATGGTTTTCTTTGATTTCTCATCCATTTAAGGATGAAATGCAGTACTCATATTCAACTTTATTCTTAAAGCACACTAAATATTAGCCCATAATTGAGATGTAAACCTAAGGTCTCAATAGATATTATAGATATTAGAACCTCATATAATCTCTCTACTTTATTCATATACAATCTTGCTAATTTATCAATTGAATTCATCATCTTCATAAGAGGGAATAAAGTTGATATTGTTAATCAATCCAAAATAACCTATATTAAATCATTACCCTTCTTTTTATAGGTAATCTAGAGACAAAATCCATAGTGATATTCTCTCATTTCCACTTAGGTATCAAGAGTGGTTGAAATTGTCCAACATACTTTTGATACTTTACTTTCACTAATTGACACACCTTATACTTAATCACATATTCTATAGTTCTCTCTTTATATTTAGCCACCAATGAAATTCTTTCAAATCTTGATACATTTTATTACCACCAAGATACACCGTGAGTTTGGAATTATGAGCCTTGCTCAATACTTCATCCTTTAGGTTCTTATCATTTGACAAATACACTAATCTTTTCATTGTTATCATTTTATCCTCTAAAATTTAAAAATAAGTCTCAATCCCTTCATCTTTTTCCTTATTTCCCCCACTTATGTATCATTTGATTGAGCTTTCAATACCTTGTATATGAATATTGATCGTACTTTAAGTTAGGCTAACAACAATCATTTAGATCCTATATCCAGTTCGACATAAATCTTCCTTAACCCTATTGATTCTTTTTCATCCCAAACAATTGGGTCACTTCGAACTATTTTATTCTTTTGACTAAGTGCATCTACAACTATATTAGCTTTTCCTGGATGATAATATATCACACAATCAAAATCCTCAATCAATTTTATTCATCTTCTATATCGTATATTTAACTTTTTCTGTGACATTAAATAATATAAACTCTTATGATTAGTGAAATTTTGAACTTACAATCCATAGAGATGATGTTCTTATATCCTCAATGCAAATACTACAACAAGTTCTAGATTATACATCAAATAATCTGGTTTAGTTGTCTTGACACATAGGCAATCATCCTTCTATATTGTATCAAAACACACTCAAGTTCTCTCTTAGAAGCATCACTGTAGACCATAAACCTTTTTTATCCTAATGGAAGTGCCAAAATAAGAGCAATTGTAAGCTTCCTCTTTAACTTTTGGAAAATATTTTCAGATTCTTCAGTCCACTCAAACTTCGGGTCAATCGAGTAAAAGGAATTGCAATCGTGGATAATCCCTCTATAAATCTTCTATAATATCCAGTTAAAATCAAGAAACCTCAAATTTTTATAACACCGGTAGGTCTTTCCTATTTCAATATAGCTTTTATTTTTTTTGGATCAATGAAAATTCCTTTCATTAATATTACATACCCCAAAAACACTACTTCTATTTTAGCCAAAATCCATATTTACTGAATTTGACATAGAGTTTATGATCCTTCAACATTTATAACATGCTTCTCAAATGTTATTCATGCTCAAAATAAGAGCTTGAATACACCAATATATCATTTATGAATACCACCATATACTTATCTAAATAAGGTCGACATACCTCATTCATTAAGTTCATGAACATTGTTGGGGTAGTTGTTAACTCACATGGCATCACTAGAAACTCATAATATTCATATTGAGTTCTAAAAGTAGTTTTTGAAACATTTTTCTCTTTGAAATTGATAGTACCTTAATTTTATATCTATCTTGGAGAATTCTCGTGTCCTTTTCAATTGTTTGAACAAATCATTTATCCTTTGAAGTGAGTTTTTTTTCTTTATTGTCACTCCATTCAACTATCTATAATCAATGTAGAGTCAGAAGGTGTCATCCTTTTTCTTCATTAATAATATTATAGCTCCTTATAGGAAATTTCTAGGTCAAACAAACCCTTTTATCTAGCAGTTCGTAAAGTTAAATCTTTAGCTTAACCATCTTTTATAATGCCATTCTATAAAGTAGCTGAGCTATCGAGGCAGTTCTGAGAATTACATCTATAAAAACTCCAACTTCTTTATTCACAATAAAAAAATAATTAAGATAGTTAATGACATGCATAAAATAAATGTAGGAGAAATAGATAATTAAGTTAACATTTCCTTAGAAAGGATGCAGTAAGAGTGATTTTTATTTTAAGCATAGCCAACCTTTTAGATCTCTGGAATTAATGCATATTTTAGGATTTTTAGTCTTCTTAAGAAACTATATGGTGGCTCATTTTTCCATGTTCTCTTTAATTTTTGGTGGTTTCATTTTGATGTTGGAAGCCAAAAATACAAAGAGATAATATGAATGTTCATCAAGTAAAGACTATCCATGTAACAATCACAAGGTAATCTTAAGTTTATAGTGTTAAAAGAAGAGAAATAGTGATGCTAAAAAAATATATCTAGATCAACCCTAACAACAACGATAGTTAAGAAAAACAAAAGTGTTTTGTTGTTGACTTTTAATAAAGAATATGAAGAAGCCATAAATTTTCTCTCTTTCTCTTTGCACATACCTAATATAGATGTAATTTTTTAAAATTTTAAGGTTATTTATGTATTTTGGGTTAAAGCAATATTCATACCTAATCCAAAACTTTATTTTTTATCTTTGGATTTTACATTATCTTTATTAAATTCCTTATCTTAGGATTAACATCTATTAAATTCATTATCTCTACTAATGCGCATATGTTTTCAGAAAACCATTAATCTAAAAAAGATAGTAGATTTACATATATTTTATATTTTGATACTTACACATTTAAGACTATATTTACTATCAACTTGAAAAGCATATTATTATAAAAATGAATAATTAAAAAAAATGAAAAATATATATTTGATCATTTTAAGTGTTGTGTTTTAAGATAGACAATTGAATAAACTTTTAGAAAGTTAAATTTCTTTGAAATAAATCCATGTTATGAATTATCAATTAAATAAGTTGCTGCATTGTGGAGGTTTGTTCCAAAAAAAGATCTTGTTATATTTAATTTTATTTTTATAGAAAAAAAACAAAGAAGAAGAAGAAGAAGAAATAGTTCATAGTTTAAAGGATATTATGTGAAGTAAAACAAAAATTGAATTACTTTGGAAAAGAAATTTAAAAAGTGAACTTATTGATAAAAAGAAATTGTAATAGAATTTACTTGTCTTTTAGTTTTGAAATTTGAACTAATAAGTAATTTTTTCAAATATTATGATGTAAAATATTGTAAGCTAAACCATTTTACGTAAGTTTTACGATTTGATGTTTGGTAAATGGTAATTTAAAATATATTAATATTTTATATATTAAAAAATATTTTCTAACAAATAAACTAAGTTTATAAAATAATATTTAACAATTTTTTATACACTATATTACAGAAAATAAACACAAATGTTTTTATAAAATATTTTATACAAGATAAATGCATCGTAAATGCAAGAACGGCAACTTTAGTTTATGGTTTAGAATTGAAATTTTTGCCCAGAAAATGGAATTTGGAATGGAGGATGAGAAGAAATTGAAATGAATGTAGCTGACGTCACCTCTAAGTGGAACGTTGTCGTGTCGGAGAACATATAAATAAAACAGGAGTAGATGACAACGGTGTCGTGTCGGAGAGCATATAAATAAATCAGGAGAAGAACACAACGGTGTCGTGTCGGAGAGCATATAAATAAATCAGGAGAAGAACACAACGGTGTCGTGTCGGAGAGCATATAAATAAATCAGGAGAAGAACACAACGGTGTCGTGTCGGAGAGCATATAAATAAATCAGGAGAAGAACACAACGGTGTCGTTTCGATGTGGACGGCCGTTAGCGTAGTAGGCACGCCCTATATATACACATATGCAACCATAAAAACAATCGAAGGCAAGGGAAACCCTAGTCCCCTGTTCCTGGCCGCTTCTTTTTCTCTCTGGGCACGTTGTTCATTCCTCTTCCTAAAATGGCTTCTTCTCCTTTCGTTGCTGCAATTATAGGAGAGGAGAATCCATTTTAGGAAGGGAATGAATACTGTGTCGGTTTTATGAGGGAGACAATCTGACAAAATTATAACATGGTTTTTCTCCATTCTTGAAATTTGATATCAACTATTTCAGGTGAAATATATTCTTTCCTTTTGAATCAATTTTTCGATGTTATTTCATTTTTTTTATTTTGTTTATTTCATGTCTTTTGATTATTACTCTTTTTGCTTGCTGGTTCGATTTGCTGTTGTCATCCTTACTGTAATAATTTGCTTGTTATGATTCAGTTTGGGTATTTGAGATTCAAGTTGTCAGGGAGATAGGTATGGAATGCATTTAGCTGTAGCCTATAGAAACTGGAAACTAGATGGGGATGATTTGCAAGGCCTTGCGAAACCCAATGTCAATGAATTTACGCTTTTAGATGCAATGAAATATGTCGAAGCAGTTGTGTTCTGTTAGCCTATGAACAATAGCACAATCCAAGATCTTAAGCCTAGTGCAAAGGAGCCCTTGTTCCCCAGTTATGGATGGGAGTGAGAATCCAGTTGAGTCAGCTTATTTATGATAAGACTTTGGTTCAACAAATCAAACTATGACCTCTAAAGAATATGTCGACAAATCTTGAACTTGTATCTTGCATGTTGTTTTGGTTTGTGCTTCACCAGAAAATGGTTGGTTGCCTTGTGCCGGATCTGGTTCCCACGAACTGAGGCCAACTCCAAGTGCCTGGTAGATGGATCTCATGCATTTATTGTTATAGTTGCTCACTCTATTGTTTATTTAATCGTTTTCGTTCTGTTTTTTTATTTAAAAAAAAAAAATAATTGAAACCAGAAACATAAGACTTTTTGTTGTAAAAAATCAACGATTAATTAATTTTTAAATCAAACAAAATGGTTTTCAATAAAATTGTGTTGATGGTTGTTGGCTTTGCTTTTCTTTTTCCACAAAAAAAAAGTTTTAAATTTTTTTCTCCAAATTTTGAAATAAAAAACCGCAAGCGATGCTAAATGACCCGTTAGTTATTCTTGTAATTTTTATAAATTGATTTATTTATTTGACATTGAATGATTCATTAACCTATAGTTTCAGATAAAAGATGAGAAAGTGATGAAGGAGTTTATTTTAGAGCAAGCGGAGAATCTATGTTCTGCGGGGTTGTGGTTTCTATATTGTTCTGTGCTGTATTGTGAGGCAAAATCAATGTTTGGGGACTGGTTACTCTGCTGTTTTTGTTAAATTTTGTTGTGTTTTTGAGATATAAATTAACCAATATGATTTATGACTTCTTAAACTCACATGTTTTATGGAATAATTCTTAAGTTCAAAAAATGAAAATAATAATAATAATTGGTTGATAATGTTAACACCATTGAATATCCAGGGTTTGTAGATGATTGGTGATACTAAGCACAATATTAAGGCATAATGATTTTACTAAGTTTATGTATTAATTCTTTTATAAATAAATTCCTTACAAAGAATTGATGTTATCCTCAAACTCTTCCCTTATGAGAATATTTTTGAAGTATAGCATCTTGATGAGTTAAAGATTTGATGCTCTACACACCATGATTAAGAAATCTAGCTCGCATTTAGAGGTTAATTCATGATCCGAATGCGTGCGGGTGCATCTTGACAAGTTAAAAATTTGATGCTCTACACACCATGATTAAGAAATCCAGCTCGCATTTAGAGGTTAATTCATGACCCGAATATGTGCGGGTGCATCTTGACAAGTCAAAGATTTGATGCTCTGCACCCCTGACTCAATGAGACTTGTGCGTGCAGGTGCGAGCACATCTTGACGAGTCAAAGATTGCGCGCTTTACACACCTCGTCTTTGGAGGTTAATTCATGACCCGAATGCGTGTGTGTGTATTGTGCACACTATGATTAAGAAATATGGCTTGTATTTGGAGGTTAATTTGTGACCCGAAGAGACTTATGCGTGTGCGCATCTTGACGAGTCAAGGATTTGATGTTTTGCACACCTCTCATTTAGAGGTGTTTTCTTGGGTTGATCTAAATTAACCCAAAACATGACTACTTGGCTAGGTCAATCATCTAGTTGGGTTTAATAATTATGATACACATGTTAAGACTATTGCAATATAAATCAACAATTAAAAAACCCTTGAGTTGGGTTTAATAATTATGTTACACATGTTAAGACTTTATCATAATACAAATCAAATGAAACTAATATAAATCATGTTGTCTTACCTTGGTTAGGCTGCTTTAGATTTAGAATAATGTGCTTTGGATCTTGTGTCAATGAGAATGGGGAGCGCTTTACTGAAAATATAAAGAAAAGGGCTGTGGGCTAGTTTCACACAAGACAAGGTGAATCTTTGGAAAGTTTAGAAGTTTTTTAGTGTGATATCTTTTTATAAGTTTAATTACCCACTAGTAGGAAGCCTCATTTATGCCTTTCAAGATGGGCTAATTAAGGTGGACCACCTTGCCTTGCTCGTTAGCTTTTGAATCTTATCACAAGTTTTTTTTAATATTAGATTGATTTGAAATTCTAACATGATATAAAACAAGATCTCTAGAAATATCTGGTAAAATTTCAATTCGATTTAATAGTTGAATAAAACATTATGTTTTTTAGAATAAAATTATACATTAGAAAAAATCAGCCCAAAAATTCTTGTAATATAAAGATTTTGTAACATTAAAAAAATCTTTGTTATATTTAGAAACTATATTGTTGCTTATTAAAATACTTGTAGAACCAAGAAAAGGCCTAAAATTAGGTTTTGTATATCCAATCTTGTCTAAGGTGATGTAGCTTGTCTTTATTTTTACTACAAAGAAAGCTATAACCCTATGATGTTTTTTATTCCACCCGTAAAATCTAACACGATTACTTCTAAGATTAATTATAATGGGATAATATTTGCCTTATGACAACAAACTTTCATGATGAAAAAACAAGGGTATAATATTAAGTAAGACACTATTATTGACTTGAACCTAATATAGTGGTATATTATTAAAGTTACTTGTTGTAAAAAGTTTTTAAATATCAATTCAGAGCTAATTTTGGTTTAGAAAATATGATTCATGGTTATTGCTTAATCATTGGCTCAAACTAGATTTCAATATTTTATACCTCTTTTTATACACGATCCTTATAATCATTATCTAAATAAGATAGCCAACTAGGCTTGGCTTCAAAAGAATATGGTTGATTTAACATGTTGGTTGATATAATTTATTCATTGTTGCTCATGAATGCTTTAAAAGGTCTTTTAGATTCCTCATCATTTAATGTATTATGTTCATTAGGTTTTATATTAGAATTCATAAATCTAGTTGTTCTTCTTCTTTCTATTTTATATATTATCAAGAAAAATAATCAAGTTATTTTCATCATCTATATGGTTTTCTTCTTAAACAAGATGAGGGTTTTTATTTAAGTTTTCTTATAATTTACTTGTTCATCCTGGATTTGGACACTTTTATTGTCCTCTAATACTATCAATGTAATTTTTTTTCTAACAAATACTTGTTCTTTTTGTTTAAAAGCCAATGCCATATTATATTCTTGTTGTATTGTAAATAATGAATTGGGCCTAGTTGTGGTGTTTGCTTCTTGTTTTTTTTTTTGTTTTAAGATGCTAGGGTGTTGTCTTATTACTTTGGAAAACTATCTTATTATTGGATTTGTTGATCAATACCTACTTTTATATTTATAATGTATGTTACCTTATCAGTTTGAGGTTGACATTTTTTTTCAAGGTCATTTTCACTATTTTAGTGATAACCTTGTCTATTTTTTTTTTTATAGATTTCTTTGATGAGTTGTCTCTTTTCTAACAAATACTTGTTCTTTTTGTTTAAAAGCCAATGCCATATTATATTCTTGTTGTATTGTAAATAATGAATTGGGCCTAGTTGTGGTGTTTGCTTCTTCTTGTTTTTTTTTTAAGATGCTAGGGTGTTGTCTTATTACTTTGAAAAACTATCTTATTATTGGATTTGTTGATCGATACCTACTTTTATATTTATAGTGTATGTTACCTTATCAGTTTGAGGTTGGCATTTTTTTTCAAGGTCATTTTCACTATTTTAGTGATAACCTTGTCTATTTTTTTTATATATTTCTTTGATGAGCTGTCTCTTTAATAGATTTTGGTCTAATGTAACCTTTTAAGGAATTGGTGGATGCCTAATGATGTTGCCTTTAGCAAATATCATTTTATGATTAATATTGCTAGCTTGTGTAGTAGTTTATGATTCTTTCATTGTACCTCTTTTAAGTAATCTAATTGGTAATTAAGGTTCTTCCTTAAAAAATGATTGGTCTATATAATGTCTATTATCGCGGGGTGCAAGCTGGCGTGATGTCTTCTGGCGATGGTGAAGGCTTTTGTCATCCCTCCGGTGTGAGGTATGGTGTGTTGGAAAGGGTTTTGGATTTAATCATAAAATTATAATTAATATTTAGAAGTCACCACTTAATATTATGGTTACTAGGAACCTATGGTCTACAAGAGTCTGAGTAAGAGACTGGTTGTGTAAGAGGAAGATAAATCACCCCTAATGCACCCTACCTAAGGTAAGTTGCATTGTTGTTTGATTGTTTTTTTTTTCTTTTTTCTGAGTCGGGTGATTAGTACTTAAAGTGCATTTTTATCAAGGTTTTTATATAATCATTTTGCACATGAAGTATCAATAATTCCTTAACTAAAGCATGTTTTATAATAACATATCTAATAATATAAGATACCTTTAATTTGTGGTAAATGTTCATTTCAAATGCAGACCTATCACA